TCAAACGAAATTTCAAGGTCGGAATTTTTTTCTTCAATTTCATTAAACGCACTTTTTTCTTCATCTGCTTCATACGAAATTTTAAGGTCGGAACTTTTTTCTTCGATTTCATTAAATGCATTTTTTTCTTGGACTTCATTAAACGTAATTTCATGATCCTTAATTGCAATGTACGAATGTTCTTCTTCGACTTCGTAAAACGGATTTTCTTTATTGAATACACGTAACGTATTTTCTTTATCCGATTCGTCATTAATAATGAACCCATCCTTAATGCCAATTTGTCTTTCTTTTGTCTTTTTAACAATAAAACGATAAATTTCTTCTCCAAACTTCATCATGCTTGTGATAAAAAATAATGGTAGCTCTCGTGGAATAAGAAGATTATCATTTAGAAAGCATGTACATATGCACCTGACAATTCTGACTTTGTCACATATCCTTCCTTTGAATTTACAACATCACATTATTCGTTGTTATTTATATATTTACTCTTTTTTCCACTTTAAGGAACGTCTATAACCAATGGAGGTTGATCGACGAATGAAATTTGAATACCTATATTAGATTTTTATATATGAGTACACAAGTATACAAATGGTATATAAAAATAAGAGGACACTCGTGTTTTATTTGTACCAAAATGGAAGGGGAATAAGGCGGCAATTAGAAATAGAACTAATAATACGAAACTATAACGGTAATCATTAACGTTCTTTAAGCATAAATAATTGAAATTAAATAAATCATTATTTAATAATCGTAAAAAAATGAGTAAATATAGTAATATTAATAGTAAATAGTAATAGTAATAATCGGTACGTATTCAGAGCAGTACAAAAGGAACATTAGCGACACAAGTGATAAAAAAAAGAAATCTTAAATATACGATTTGCGTGGACAGATTTTTGCAATTAATACGTTTGAGCTTGTACTCCTTGTGTAGTTTCCATTACACGAACCTTTGTATCCTTTTTCTCCAACTTTTAATGTTTGCTCGGTTAAACAAAAGTGATTCAACTATTCTCGGTCAAACATGTGCAATGAAAATAAGAAGTATAGAAAGAAAATTTAAATTAACACATTGAGCCCTACGCAAATTCTTAAAGAAATGCCAGTCAGGCACGTGCGTTACTTACTATTGCAAAAACAGTTGAATGTCAGTCGTTGGTGACAGTTTTTTCAACGAAGCTAAGTCAAGGAGAACGATCACAGTGTTATAAATGCGTTTACGTATATGCTGTATTAAAGGATGATTTCTATTGCATATTCATAAAGAGCGCGTTGATTCGATGGATCTGATTTTTCAAATATATATAGTGCTACCTTTAACTTAGGAAAAAAATAGATAAATAAGTCGACGAAGTAAATAAAAAATTATAAACTAAAGAAAATGGAATAATTGGTTATGATATCTAAAAGTCAAGAAAAATAATAGCTTGAAAAAAATATCGATAAATCATCTTATATATCTGTAAAAAAATTGTGAAATGGGATCAAATTATCTTTAATTCAATTTTCTGTGTAGAACAAGTCCTTTACTATTACGAAAATTAATCCTTAAATCTACACTAATTAAACTTATTTCATATTATAAGTTATTATTGTTCCAATAGTTTTGTAATATTTGAATTAATGTATAGTATAGAGTGGGTACACACTGGGTGCGTTCCACTAAGCGCTCACAACGATCAAAATGCTCCTTTAGTCGTTCCACATAACGACCGCGGTCGTTGTGGTCGCGGCGAAAACGTCACTCATGACGTCATTACTAACGCTCACGCGAAGCCCACAACGACCCATCTGAAAACGTGGGTCGTAGTGAGCGTTGAGAAAATTAGCGGTTTTTTCGAAACTGACAACAATAAAAATGGCGACCGTGAAACTGACATGAAGGATTACAGATTAAATCTTAACCTCTTTAATCTTTTACTTTCTTTTCACTACCTCGCCATTTGTATTATTACCTCCACGCTCAAAACGCACCATAGTCCATTCCACTTGAATTTACGACAGTAACGCTCGTAGGTAAGTGGAACGGGAAAAACTGTGGTCGTGAGCGTGATCGTTGTGAGCGCTTAGTGGAACGCACCCACTATATCCTTTTTCGAATTGGGGTAAGAGAAACTTTCTCTTATTGGCTGACTACTTGCTTACTGAAGAGATATCATTGGCTAGGATATTCATACTAGATTCAAAAGTATATCTCGATATTTATTGTTTTAGAAAAATTGAAAACAAAGTTAGTTATTTAATTTTTAAATCATTTTGTTAATTTAACGAAAAATGAACAATAAATATGTAATTATTAAAAATTTACGAACTTTGAATATAATTTTATTCTCCTGATGAGACCAACCAATCAGCGTCAACATTTGGTTGACAGTGGTTATAATACATGATGACCGTGTATCAATCGTAGGGACATGTGGATTGTAAGAATATTGTGGTAGATGTCTTATTCTGATGTTTAATTAAATAACACGGTTAAAGTATTTCGATATTAATTTATAATTTAAATTTGGCCTACACAGAAAAAAGGTATATATTTTAAAATGGCTAATACTACTGAGAAAGGAAAAAAACGGCATGCCGACGATAATGCTATGGAGGTACGTAATGGAGGTTATTTTCTCTTTCGTTTTTGTTATCGTATTTATTATATTGATCTCGCTTATTATTTGAAAATGAATTTATTAGAATATTATGTAATAGGTCGAAGTAGTAAATGGCATTGAAGGAAAGGTTAAATCTAGATCGCCTGCTAAAAGAGTCAAAAAAGTATATGGTGAATTTCGAAAGGTACATTTTAATTATGTATTATAATATATTTATTATAATTATTTGTAATTAATTATATCTTAGATAGATGGAAAAGTAATAATTGAGTGATGTTTTGCAGATACCTGTACCTGCACATAGGTATACTCCTCTTAAGGAAAATTGGATGAAGATTTTTACTCCTATTGTAGAACATTTACAATTACAAGTACGTTTTAATTTGAGAACAAGGAATGTAGAAATTCGTACTGCTCCTGAAACTACCGCTATTTCTAATCTTCAAAAAGCTGCAGATTTTGTTAAAGCATTTATATGTGGTTTCGAAGTAGAAGATGCTCTAGCTTTATTACGACTAGATGATTTGTTTGTCGAGACTTTTGAAATTCAGGATGTAAAACCGTTAAAAAGTGACCATTTATCTAGAGCTATAGGAAGGTTAGCAGGCAAAGGAGGCAGAACAAAATTCACAATTGAAAATGTTACAAAAACAAGAATCGTTTTAGCCGATAGCAAGGTTCATATACTTGGATCTTTCCAAAATATACAATTAGCTCGTAGGGCTATTTGTAATTTAATATTAGGAAGTCCACCGTCCAAAGTGTATGGTCATTTAAGGAATATTGCTAGTAGGGTATCAGAGCGTTTGTGATATGATATAAGAAATTGTATAAAATGGTTTTCTATTTTGCATATATATGTAAATATATAAGATTAAGTCTGTTTTCTAATATGGATATTTATTATTGAAAACTTAACGGTTTCGCTACGGGCTGATTTTGCGGCGCGCTACTCACGCCGAACGATCCGTTGCATCGAAAGTATGCACTAAGAAACGTTTGTGATAGTTCGTAGAAAAGAAAAGATGAAAAAATTATCACATAATGGAATTACAAAATATAACTTTTAATAATGTATTTTCGTATGGGGGAAAGTCTCAAAGATACGCACGAAGTGCAAAACAATTGCGATGGGTAATCATTACGATATCAAATATACTCTGTTCAAAAAACATCACGGGTGACTATAGTCACTGCTTGTAGCAAAAGGGTTAATTTTAATGCAAGTGACAGTTTTTAAAAAATAACTCGGAAAAATTTAATAAATACAATATTTAATTTAAAGAAGTATTTGGTATTTATATTTTCGGGGCACTTTGTTTATAACTAATCTACCATCATAACTTAACGAAGCAAATGTCCAAGGATCAGCAGAGGACCATTCAACTGCATAAACACTATCCTCGTGTGTTTCGTATCTCTCAACAACACCGTCTTCTAATCTAAAATATTTATTTAATTGTATAAAAACATTATACATCACCATAAATTTTTCTTTTAAATAGTGCTTAAACAATACATACTTTTCTTTTTGACACATTTCATCGGCTTGACCGTTGTCATCTTCTGGTGAAACTATATGCCCATATGGTTCAGAGGAAATAGATACAATACTATATAAAATAACTCTAGAATCACTACTCGATGTTAAAACCAATTGGTCGTGAAAACGATTGATTCGTATATTCCAGACCCAATGAGAATGTTCCATACGCGATAACACAGGCTCAGTTGGTACTCGAATATCCCAGAATTTCATGTATCCATCATCGCCACAGGTAGACAAGAAATACTGTCGATTAACATTAAAATCTAAATCTCTGTAACAAAGTATTCTTATATACTTGTATGTTTATATATGGTAAAGATGAAAATATTATTTTTCCTCTTTCTATGTTCACCTAATTATCTGCGAATGAGCAGATGTAATTGTCCATGAAGGATCTGACGGAGCTCTTAAATCCCAGCCTTGAATATTATTTTCATCCAATGTTACAAATTGGTTACACCCATTATGAGGATTCCATTTACCATTTGTAAACCGTGGTAAATTTTTGCCAGATAAAACACCAGATACTGCAACCTAGAGTATATAATTAAAATTGAGAAGGGTGATAGTAGGAAGCATTCTAATAGTTAATTTAATAAGTATTTATATTTACTTGCGGTTTACTGTTACCAAGATCCCATAGTGCAAAGCATTTATCTACAACCGATATTGCTTTTGTACCATCCATAGGATGATAAGCAATGGTTTTTAAATCACTACCATACTCCGTCGTATCAATTTCAGCTAGCATCTCCAATTGTATACTGTCATTTGTGTATTCTTTTATTTCAGGTAACTTCCAAAGTGCTCCTTTCATTTGACACGTTCCTTCATCTAAACAATTTCAATTCAACATTTATTTAATATCAAATATTTCATTCCTAAATAAATTATATATAAACATATGAAGAAATACCATTTAAACTATTGTAACAAGTAATAAATAGAGAAGATTCAGTTGGTGATGCTTGCAAAGACCATATTTCACCAATTGGATGCTGAAATACTTGGGTCTTTAAACCATTAGTTTCTTCATTAAGTTCAACTAAATGTACTTGATTGTTAGTCAATTTCAATGATTGAGTTCCTACTAGAAATCTAACAATATCGGTTTCTGCAGTTTGGGCTGATAACGCTCTAGTCTGTAATATAGATAATTATAAATCAATCAATCGTGAAGATTAAGTTATTAATATACTGTAAGACTAAATTATTAAGAAAACATCATACTTGAAATTCAAGTCCATATATCAAAGGAATGTCACTCTCCATTTTGTCTCATATGTAATATATAAATTTATATTTCAAATATAAAAAACAATATTTAAAATTAATATTAATCGTTACTTTTGAATCATTATTTTTCTTCGTACTGATTAGTCAACGAATTATCAATTATGTATCCTATATCTATATTTAAACAATTATTATTCTACAAACACAACAATAAATATATATTACAAAAATAACCAATATATAAACGACGTAAGAATGAATATATTTCTTACTATTCGTCATTAATTGACCAATCATAGATGTATAAATCTTACAAATTGTATTTTTCACAACATCTTCAATACTACATTCACATAATTTGTTTCTAATGATTATATATATTGTATAATATTAAATAATAATCGAGTATTGTTATCATATTATGACTAAAAGTAATATTTCAATTGATTATACACAAAAGATTGACAGGGGTTCACGAATTTCCACTTTCTCGATAGAGTATAAACGGCCCTGTGCGTATTATCCAATGAGAAGCTTCGGCTCAACAACGCATGCGCAAGTATTCCACGGTGGGGGTTCATGCGAGAACGTAATCCAGATCAGACCAGTCCGGCTAGTCACTCGCGAGGGGAAGGGTCGTTCGTTGCGTTGCCTTGTTATCATACCCCCTCCATCAATTTCTTATTTGCACCGTTTCGATACACTAGCTTGTTCGTTAGCCTGCGTCCGGTAAAACCAGACGCAGGGTCAACAGATAAAGTATATCTAATGCATAGTTTATGGTATTAAAGTGAGAGAGTGAATATCTTAGCTTCGCTAAAATTTGTAATATTGTAATTGTTTTTTTTATTAGAAAAGTCAACAGACAATATCAAAGTTGAAGTAGTACTTGCTGTGTTTAACGGTCTACCAATTTTATTTTACATTGAATTTGAGTATACATAGTATACATACATATAGCATACTTATATATATATATATATATATATATATATATATATGTCGTTCGCGATATAAAATCAAAGTGTTCCTTTAGTTTTCTTTCGTTTCGTCTCACGCAAATGCGTACACTTGTGTGCCCTTTTTTGATGTGGAGGGAATGCTGACGCTGCAACATCTTTCGTAAGTAAAGGTTATTTTATCATCGTTAATGTTTTGCCATATTTCTATGATGGCTTTTTTAATTTTATTCTTTTTCTTGATTTGAATTTTTTGGTTTTATCTAAATATAGAAATGTCTTTCCTATTGTTTTTATTATAATCATCATTATCATCATCATCAGTAGTAGTAATAGTAGTAGCAGCAGCAGCATCATCATTATCATAATTATTATTATTATTATCATTATAATCATCATCATTTTTGTTAATTGTATATAAATTTTTATAGGAATAATGCAATACGAAAAGATCAATTTATACAATTATTAATTTAGTATTGTAATATATAAATTGATTGTTAAAATATAAATTTATTCATATAAAAATATTGTATTTCTATAGTCTCTTTTTATTTTTTTTTTAAATTGATTATCTTAGAAGTTTCTAATGAAAATACACTATGGCGCCAATTATGATTTATCGAATTTTTTAATACCTTTATCTCAGTACAATTAAAATTGAAATGATAAAATTGTGAAATATTATTTAAGTATATTATTAATGAAATATTTCGTTCTCTATATTTTAATTGAAAAAAATTAAATACGCGCGACACATATACACATTTGTATTTAGCAACGTGAAACATTATTCTTCAATTAAGTATGAATATGCGTATTTGTTACGTCAAAATTGATCTCAATTGGTTGCAATTGGTTCGAGTGTGATGAAACTTTTAAACGAAGTGGTCATCGATATTAAGGCAATTTAAAAAATTATGCTATTTACAGGTTTTTTTTTCATTCAATAATTAAATATAATTAACATAAATATATATATATACTTTACTAATTTGAATAGTGATATAATATAAAAGTTTCATTCGCGTTCAATGCTCCTTGCTGTTTTCTTCATTGATTTTGTCCATCTAGTTAGATTCAAGGTCGAGTACGGAATATACCACAAACGACACACGTTCCTTCTACATACGCATTTATGTGCTCGTGTGTTGCTGCTCTGTGTGTTTTTTTATTCAGCATACTTCAATATACTTTTTGTATAATTAAGATTTTGCGTTGACGAGAATGAATGAATTTTGGGAGAAGTTGAAAAGTTAGTTATGCTTCACCGCGATACCGTTATCCTTAATTTAGCATTGAATAATTTTGCTCAAACGTTTACAGTAAATTGCTATAATAAAGTTAAATATTAGACGTAGCAATTAATTTGGTGCCCTTTTAAAAAAACACACACACAAATTTAGTATTTATTTATAAAAAAAATAATACATCTATTATTCTTCAAAATAGTTTTAATTATTTTCAATAATTTTGATCTACCTTTTAGGTAACTGACAAAATCTTTGACGAAAAAAAGATGGCGATTTTGATTAAATGAATTTAATATCAGGGCACCGAATTAACAACTGGTACACCAAATACATTGTAGAGTTATAAAATACACAATAGTTTTATTATAGTAAAGTTATTATATCGACTTTTCTTAGTTTTTATTTGTATAATTATTTATTCATTATATTTGAGTGTTATATTTGTATATTTAAATATGAAATGAAATATAATTTTGAAATTATATTTGAAATATTAAAGAGATTGATATTGATAGGAAAGCTTGTTTCTTTGGGGAATCCATAATAATAAGAAAAATGTAGAAGCAAAGTAGAGGAAAGCTTTGTAAAGTTGCCCTTCGATCAATGAACCACATATACAACACACACGCACACGATTTCACCCTTTTTCACCCTCTTTTACCCCCCTTCGTTGGCATCGCAGTCGAGTTCCGCGTGCAGGTCAACTCGTTCGTCTTCAGCACGAGCTACTTAACATCCCAGGGGTTGATGTACGTTAATTTCAACGAAATGACTTTCTGCAATTTGAGCGTTTTTTTTGTGTTCCAAATCAATCCCATATTCTTCCACTTATTTTATTTGTTAATAAAAGAAGAATTTTCCCTTTGGACGTTGAATTCACATTCGTTTCGTTTCATTCGTCGAACAGATGACTCCATCGACGCGTGACTTTGCAAATTAAAGCCTTGTAACGTTCTTACTGGCTGAACAATCGTTGCCAGCTGTCCGAACAATTTTCATAGCAAATGTCGATTTTTAAATTAAAGTATATCGTATATATGTGTATAATAATTACTCGCTCAAACAAACAAACAAACAAAATACGAAGAACAGACATTAGTTTAAATATGTTTTTTAGAATTGTCATTTGTTTTATTCGAAGATCGCGAACCAAAGTTCAAATATTATTTACAAAATTTCATTGTATTTGATTAATTAATATGTGAATATAAACGCGTAAAGGGGCAATTTTATTTCCGGTTATAATATATTTGTATATTTTCAAACGCGGTATTACGCTTCGTTTCATCTCATATTAAAACATCGATTGCACAGGATTCCACAGTTTATGCGGTAAGACTGTAACTGTAGATAAAAAAAAAAATAAAAGGAAAAGAAAAAAGGAGACTATTTCATTGGCCAGCTTGTATTCCCTGTCTTTATCTGCCTTTCTCTCTTCATATCTTTTATCTTTGACAGGAACGATAACCGCTTGACTCGGGTAGTCTCTCGTTGAGTCTACAGCATCATCCTCTTAAATTTTCATTTATTTTCTTTCTATCTCTCGTGTTAATGTTCTACGTACGTGCAGCTTTGTTAAATAATTTGCTGCTTTGGAAAATACAAAATGGCGTTGAACATACCAAAATACAACACGTAGTGTTTTGATTGGTTCACTCATAAAGCTTTAGTTGTATCATTAGTAAGGATCGTAATACTGTTACTTGATTGATTATTAGATTCAAGGACACTTGGAAAATACCATTTGTTCCTCTATTCATAGTATCATCCCAGACATCCTGGAAGCGCCGGAAGCGCGTCGCTACTCTCAAGGTCGTTCAGAGAGGGAAAAAGGAGACCGTGACATTTTCGATATCGTTTTTCACGCCTGGCCTTTTCCTATCCCATCGAGCGAGAGTTTATATTCACCCCTCGGTTTCTCTTTACGTCTATAAAGACGTAAAGCGTGTCGAATATAACATTTCTCTTACGTCATTGGACATTTACAATCAAGGTCATTTGAGAATTTTTATTGATGATTTTAATAATTCGATAATCTTGCAATTCTTAGAAACGATAAAACGATTATTAATCTTGATGATATTAGTATTGTATCATGTATTGCAGTTTATGTACGACACGTGAAATCTTACATAAGAAATTTCATATTCAACGTCATCGTGTTCCGTTCGTCAAAAGACTTTTTTTTTTAATCCCTTTGTTCAGGACGTAACGGCACCTTAAGTCGATTCAATGTCAAACGTATAGAAATAATCCTGTCCTTGCCGAAGATGCTTCTGATACATATCGATAATATTTATCGATCGCACTCTATATTATTCCGATGCAATTACAATAGAAGTTAAATCATCTTGCGATTGGTTATCATTCAAACGTAGTAATGGCGGCTACTATCTTCGATCGTGATTGGTTCATACAATTATACCACTTAATTTTTCCAATAAATTTGAAACGATACGATTGGTTAGTTTATTTGGTTAACTTCAATTAGGAAATACATTTGTTTTTTTTTTGTTTTTCGAAAGAGAAAGGAATTTAAACGAAATTCAATCATTATCAAAGATTACGAGGAATAAGAAAAGTTTATATATATATATATGTAAAAATAAGACTGTAAATTAAAGGAGGAAAGTAAGAGGAAGAGAAATGGAAAAGAAAATAAAGAAAGCACGCGGTGATGAATGGGAAGCAACAAAACTCCTCTCCGTTTGTTGTCTCTTCCACATTCGATTGCAAACCTCGACAAAACTACAGTCCCAACCGTTTCTGACGTGTCCGGTCGCGGCTGCTACAAACCGGAACTCTCTGACAGCAAGTCGATATCGTAAAACGGCACGTGTGCTGCTACCTCTTTGTGTACTCAAGGTCAAGGTAATCCTTCAATTTCCATTCCTAACCTAATCTATCCTTTTTTAATTTTCGGGATTTGAGGGGGGTTTATGGGAGCTTCTATTAACATTAAACCTATTTATCACACGCCATGATCAAATTATACAGCACCCTGTAATTTTTAAAAATGTGCCAATTTTTTGTTCAATCTTCTAATTTGTATTACGTACCAAAATAAACACACACACATTATTCATTTTTAAAGTAAAAGAAAATATTTTCTTTACCATTCTAATGGGTAAAATTTTGTTTTGTATTAAACACTTAAACGGAATGCTCACGAGATTTCTCGTGTTTCAATTGTTGAAACGTAAAAGACCGGCACAACGAGATTTCACGTTTTTATCTTTTTTCTGTTCTTCTTTTTCCGTGCTGTACTTTTGCATAAAGTAACTTGCTTTCATAAATATATAACTCGTGAAATTATTAACTTATTTTCACAAAAAAAAAAGCTACCTTTATAATATATTAATTATAAAGTTAATAAATACATAGATTTTTTTTTAAATGTCCTATATACAGGTAACCCTCCTATAACACGGTTTTCGCTATAACATGATTCATAAATTGCGAAAACTTTTGTACAACATTTTTTACTTTTACAGCACTGGATAACATGATTTTGTTCAACATATTTAAAAATCAAATTATCTTCAAATAATGACGCGAAGGAATAATAATGAATTCTAGGTCTCATATAATACGATTTCACACAAAACATTGGATTTTTTAAGAACCTATCTATCGTGTATTATAGAAGGGTTACCTGTATATATTTGTTTTACATTTCCAAACGAAAAATTCGTCGGTTTCGGAATAATAATCCTACGGGAAATAATATGCGATCATTTAAGTGTTAAGATATGTATATATATATATATATATATA